TTCGTAGCGTATCGCCGAGATGAAGGATCGATTCGCAACCATCGTCAATAAAATTCGGAGACTATAGCTCCAGGCGGCGGGTCCAAAAGCTTATCGAGCTGTGATGCAAGTGGGCTTTCATCCGTGGCGATGGCAGCTGTGCAGCATTGCAAATCAATGAAATATCCAGCATGTATAAAGACCAAACAGAAAACCAGCGTTGATGCTATCTCAATAGATGCAGAAAGGCGCTTTTTGACAATTAAGATTTCTATGCAAAATTCTCTCATTAAGGGTTCCGTATTGATGGAACGTATCTCAAAATTAATCAGGGCGTATTTGATGACAAACCAACAGCCGAATATTCATTACTGAATTGGGAAACAGGGAGCATGCCCTTTGAAAACAGCACAAGCAGGATGCCCGTCTCTCACCATGTCCTATTCGAACATAGGCCTGGAAGTCTGGCTCCGGGCAATCAGGCAAGAGAAAGAAAGTAAGGGTATTTCGGTTAGGATGAAAGAAGACAGTCAACGTTGGTCATGTTTGCAGATGACGAAGTGTATATGTTTAAAAACCCATTGGATCTGCAGCCAAGAATCCCCTTTACCTTGAAAGCAACTCAGCAAAGTTGCAGATACAAATCAATGTGGCACAAACACATAGCATTTTATACACGCAGTAACAGGACAACAGAGACCAAATCTATGAGATGCTTCCTCACAATGTTCAAGAGGAATAAGATACCTTAGAATCCAAGCTTACAAGGGATGTAAAGGACTTCTTCAGACGAGATTACAAACCATCTGCTCGCAGTGCGAATTAAAGGGACACAAACAGAATGGAAGAACCATATCATGTCATGGGATAGGAAGATCCATACGGTGAAATGGCCGATACTGCTCAGAAGTCATTATGTATTTATTGCCCTCGCCCATCCAAGTACATGAGGTTTCTTCACAGATTGCTCAGGAAGTTCATATGGAACCAAAAAAGGCCCGCTTGCCACCGGGCATGTCCTAAGCAAAGAAAAATGCTGGAGGCATCACGCTACCTGATTCAACTGCTCTAGCAAGGGCTGCGGGGGGTAGCCAAAACGGCAGGATGGGTCTGGTACCAACCCAGGATATAGGCAAGGGGACAGGGAAAATTGCAGGCAATAATATACACTCTGATCTTTGCGCAAGACTGAGCGGACAGAAGATGAGGAAAGGATTCCCTCTTGTAGCAGAATGGGTGGCTGGAAGAATTGGCGTAGCCATAAGGAAGGCTGAAACTGCCTTTCTTACGCTGCTTGACTCACAAAATGCAGAGAGTGCATGGCCCCTAATACCATAAAATGAAAGAACACTGTAAACTAGAATACATGCAAAGATATGCGAAAACGAACCAAAAAGCAATGGCACCAAAAGCAAATTGACAAAAGATCTATTAAACAAGAGTTCTGACAGCAAAGAAACTACCATCGGTGAACAAGGCACCTACAGAATGGAAATTTTTGCACTCTACTCATCTGCAAAGGTTATAGTCCAGGACCTCAAGGAACTTAAACAAATTACCAAGAAACAAACAACCCCACCAAAAAATACTGGGGCAAAGGATATGACAGAACTTCGTCAAGAGAGACATGCATCAGCCAACGTGACACTGAACAAATGCTCCATCATCACTCGGCAGTCAGAGAACTGCAATCAAACCACGAGATACATCTCACAACAGATTAAATGGCATCTTGTAAAAGTCAGGAAACAACAAGGTTGCGAGAGGATGTGGGGAAGAATAGAACCACTTTCGTACACTTGTTGGATGGGATTGTAAAACTAGTCGACCATTATGGAAAACAGTATGTGATTCCTCAAGGGATCTAGAACTTAGAAAGTGACCTATTGACCCAGCTATTGCATTATGGGTATATCTCAAAGATTATAAATGCATGGTTGTTAAAGACACATGCACACATATGTTCATTGTGGCCACTACTCACACATAGAAAAATTGGAATCACCACCAAATGTCATCAGTGACAGACTGGATTAAGAAAATGTGGCACATATACTCCGGAATACTATTGCAGCCATAAAACGGATGAGGTTTGTGTCCTTTGTAGGGACCATGGTGTGGATGCAGCTGGAAACCATCATTCTCAGCAAACTATCGCAAGAACAGAAAACCAAATACCGCATGTTCTCACTCATAGGTGGGAATTGAGCAATGAGATCACTTGGACTCAGGAAGAGAAACATCACACACCAGGGGCCTATTATGAGGAGGGGGTACGGGGGAGGGATGGCATTGGGGATTATACCTGATGTAAATGACAAGTTGATGGTTGCTGATGAGCTGAAGGGTGCAGGACACTAACATGGCACAAGTATACATATGTAACAAACCTGCACGTTGTGCACATGTACCCTAGTACTTAAAGTATAATAATAAAAAAATAAATAAAAAATAAAACTGCTGAAAACCAAAGAGAAATAGAAATACACGCAGGCAAATGGAGGTGAGTGGAGGGGGGATTCCTTCCCAAAGAACAGAAAAGATGGCGACAGCGTTCTTCTAGTTAAACCTTCCAAGCAAGAGGAAAATTGATGGTATCTGTAAAGTGTTGGACGAAAAGTCAACTCATTATTTTATAACCCACAAATGTTCTCTAAAAAGTGAAAGAAAATTACATTTCTCTTTGACAGCATAAGGGGCTCAATGAATCCATGTCCCCATAAGACTAGTGAAAATTATTTTGAAACTTTTGAAAAATTACAGGGTTTGGAAAGGCTATAACAACATAAAGTAAGTGAAGAAATATTTATTCAAGAAAATCTATAAAACTCAGTAAGTCCAGTCATCATATTTGATCTAAGACGCTCTTCCATCCTTCCACATCCCAGCTCAGCATGACGTAAACTCCACTGCAGACAGATGCATCCAGGAAGACAGGACACCTTCTTCCAGCTCCCACCAGAGCAAACTCTTCCCCAGGAGCCAGGGCGTTGGCCCTCTGACCCTGCTCACAGCACGTGATGCTGGGGCTCAGTTCTGGACAAGAGCTACTGAGAGCCAGAGATGCACTTCTTCCCTGGAGCTCCACTCATGGATGGAGGCTCTGCCCTGGGTCCAGAGCCGCTGGGAACATTGGGTCCCTGGTTTCTAGCTCTGTCCTACGGCAGAGGTTCCACCCCACAAGAACCAAAGTACTGGAAACATGAGAAGCTTCTGCCCAACCCTCCACCTAGTGCTCATCTCCCACGCTGATGAAGAAAAAAGCTCAACTTTGCCTCCACCTGCAGAATCTTGGTTATGTGCTCTGTCCCAGGGGAGAGGGAGAGATGGAATTCAGTCATAAAATATGATCCTTAATTTGGTCCTAAACATCCTAACTTCCATAACAACAGAATGTGGAAAGTTCAAAGCCTTCCAGTGCTCTCAAAAACAGTGGAGGGTGTGGTGGAAGACCCTTGGAACGAGATGGGTGGATGCACGGGAGATGCAGACTAAACTGCAGGGCTGCTGGCTTGCAGGAGAGAACCGAGGAGGGGGAGAACTGGGGGATGTTCTCTTGTGGTTGGAACAAATACTGGACAGTGTTCAAAGGAGCCCATGTTTGTTTGCTTCAGTGTGTGAAGCACTTCAAACCTCAGTGCATGGTTGAAAATAGATTTTTCCATCTGCAAGTGGCAGAGCTCAACATCTGGGCCTGGTCAGGAAAGAGACAGAAAAAGCTCAGCCCAAACCACTGACACCTGAGGATGATGGTGGTGCTGACAGCTGTGTCCCTTTGATCTTTGAGACTGATTTCTCTCACTTAGCATCATGTCTGGAGTTCACCGGTAATGGTTTATGTTTCGGTCACTTGTTAATTTTTTATTGCTGATGGTGTTCAATTTGTAGATGCTTCCTAGTTTCTTCACCTATTCAAATTTTGAGACATTTATGTTATTTTTAGTTTCTAACACACACATCCCCACACACAATATCTTGAATATTTCAATAGAAGTTATATGTGAATGTAAGATTGTATTTCTCTGAAGCAAATATTCAGGAGTGGGATCTTAGGGTCAGGTGTTAAGGGCATGTTTGATTTTAGAGAAAACTAAAACTTATTTTCCTGAGTATCTGTTTGAGTTTGCATTCCCGTTAGCAACGATATAAACTCTAGTAACCTGGCATGCTCACCGGCATTGGTGTTATCTGTATTTCTTCTTAATTTCAGTCATTTTAAAAAGTGTGTGGTGGTGTCTCATTGTGGACTTGATTTCAATTTCTCTAATGGAAAATCCTGTTGAGAGCCTGTTTATGTGCTTCTGTGTCATCTGCACATCGTCTTTGATGAAATGTCTGTACAAACCCTTGTCTAATTTATCCATCAGTTGTTTCCTTTTTATTCACAGTTGAGTTCTGAGGGTTCTTATTATAATCACATTGGTGGTTATATGACTTGCAAACAGTTTCTCATCTGTAGCCTGGCATTCATTTTCTTATAGTCACTTGAGTAGAAAAAGTTTTTAAATTTAATGAAGTCAACTAATATCAATTTCATTTATTGACCATATGTTACATTTCAATTTTAAAATCATTGGTCAGCTCCTAATTATTGTATATTGTGCCCATTATATAACATCTCATCATCTCCCACCTTGTGCCCTCCCATCCTTCTAAGTCTCCAATGTCTATAATTTCTCTCTACATATCCTTGTGTACACACTGTTTACTTCCCTCTTATAAGTAATAACGTGTGACACGTGACATTCTGGTTGTGAGGCAATTCACTAATTATATTGTCCCCTACTTCTATGCATCTTGCTGCAAAACACACAGTTTCATTCCTTATTGTGGCTGACAATTATTGAACTGTGCATACACGCTATATTCTTTTATAAAATCATCATTGGCGGACACTCTGTTTGACACATGTGCTACTGAGAATAGTTTTATGGTAAGCATAGAAGTGTGGGTATCTTTTTGAAATAATGGTTTATTTTCCTTTGGGTAGTTGCCCAGCAGTGGGATTGTTGAACCAAATGGCAGGTCTATTTCTAGTTTTCTGGGAAATCTCCACACCGTTCTCCACAGAGGTTGTCCTCGTCCACATCCTCATCAACAGTGTCTAACAGTTTCCTTTATTTCCCATCCTCACCAACATCTGATATTTTTGAGTTTTTAATAATAGTCATTACAACTGGTGGAAGATGATATCTTATTGTGGTTTTAATTTGCATTTCCCTGATGGTCAGTGATGTTGAGCATTGCTTATATATGTATTATCCATTTCTATGTGTTCTTTTGAAAATGTTGCTGGGCGCGGTGGCTCACGCCTGTAATCCCAGCACTTTGGGAGGCCGAGGTGGGCGGATCACGAGGTCAGGGGATCGAGACCATCCTGGCTAATACAGTGAAACCCTGTCTCTACTAAAACTACAAAAAATTAGCTAGGCGTGGTGGCGGGTGCCTGTAGTCCCAGCTACTTGGGAGGCTGAGGTAGGAGAATGGCATGAACCCGGGAGGCGGAGCTTGCAGTGAGCCGAGATCGTGCCACTGCACTCCAGCCTGGGCGACAGAGCACCAGACTCCATCCCAAAAAAAAAAAAAAAAAAAAAAAGAAAAGAAAAGAAAATGTCTACTCATGCCCTTTGCTCATTTTAGTGAGTTTATTTCGTGCTTGTTGCTGTTGTTGTTGTAGATTTGTTTGAGTTCCTTGCGAATTCTTCATGTTAGTTCCCTGTCACAGGCAAAGTGTGCAAAAGTTTTCTGTCATTCTGCAAATTGCCTATTCACTCCGTTGTTTTGAAAAAATCTTTAGGTTAATTAAGTCTCCTCTGTCTTTTTTGGGGGGTAACAGGAACCTTTCCTGCTGAATCTTTGTCAAACAGGAAACAGCTTCTGCTTGCATGAACCACTAGCAGGGGACATGCCATTCATTAGTAAAGAAGAGGGAGGAAGACAAGGGTCTGAGTCAGGTGGGAATAAGAAGCCCAGGCCCTGTCAGGAAAAGGCATCTCGACCGCTCTTTCCTGTTCTGCATTGGTGGGGAGGGAGCACCCCTGAGAAGCAGCCTGGGTTCCTGTACAGGAGGTGCCCTGGGCTGTGTCTCTGTGGTCCCCGTGCACAGTAATATGTGACTGTGTCCACAGGGTCCATGTTTGTCATTGTTAGAACCACCTGCTTTTTGGAGGTGTCCTTGGAGATGGTGAGTCTGCTCTTCAGCGATGGGCTGTAGTATTTACCATCATCCCAATAAATGTTCGCAAGCCACTCCAGGGCCTTCCCTGAGGGCTGACGGATCCAGCCCACACCCATTCCACTAGTGGTGAGTGAGAACCCAGAGAAGGTGCAGGTCAGCGTGAGGGTCTGTGTGGGTTTCACCAGCGCAGGACCAGACTCCTTCAAGGTCACCTGGGACAAGACCCCTGTGGAGAAAGCATAAGAAGATGAAGCCCACAAAGAAAAGAGCAGATGTTTCACCCCTGAAGTCGTCCCTGACCACAGCACTCACAGGACGGGACGGTCAGCAGCAGGAGCGTGGAGCAAAGCGTGTCCATGGTGGGGCACAGGATTCACTGAGCCAGTCCCGGTGCTCGGCTTTTCAATCGTGAGGAGGGTGGAGCTGGTGGAGATTTGCATCCCCTCATCTGAGTACTACTCTATGGGGTGCACTCAGGTCTCAGGACTCAGTAGGGGAGTGCATCTGTGGTGAGGCGCAGTGAGCCCTCTGGTGTGGGCGTCCGCGTGTGCTCTCCACTGGGGACACCGTCTCATTTCAGGACCATGGTTCTCAGTCAAGGCTGTGACACTCCTGTTTCCACAGACAGGATCTTCTTGGATGCTCACGCAGGGGACATGCAACCTTCTGGTTTCAGTGCTAGAGGATTAGAGTAGAAATCAAGAGAGCTGATGTTTTTCCTCCCTTCAACAGAAATGACGGTGGGCATCTGGGAGAGCAGGGGGCTCCCCACAAGAATTCCGATCAAAATCCTCTTTGATTAGGGGGAAAGTGATGAATTTTTTTTTAAAAAGTTATAGAGAATCAATAAAAAAAATTTACAAATAATTATGTAAAGAAGTGTGTGCTTATCAGTGTGTCTGCACACAGCTGCATTCCTACAGGCAAGTTCCAAGAATAATCGATGTTGTCCCTGTGCCCTGTCAGCTCTGTAGAGAGAGTAGACTGCAGGCGTGACTTCCCTTTTGTCAGCCCATGAATGAGCAGATGCTTTGGACAGGGAACTGGAAGACTCTTGAGGGAGCAGCTGGCTGACTGGTGCAGCCTTGGTCTGCACCTGCACTGGATGTGGTCTCTGCGCTCACAAGGCCGTGGAGACTCATCAATGCAGGTTCAAGGAGTTAACTGCAGAGTTATATTCACTTGTGGTTTTCTCTGTAACAACAAAGTTATAGTTATAGATGATATAGTGGGTGGTCTCCTTAGGGTTGGATGCTGTCAAGTCAAAGAAGACAACCCTAGATTATAGTCAAAGGTTCTCCGGCTGGTTCCTTGCCGCACCTGCTCCTAAATGGTGATCTGTGTTGACTGAGTTCTGAGCTTCTCCTGTGGGTCCTCTGCTGTCCATGCAGCCCAGATAAAGGAGGGCTGGGGGATCTGCTTCTGAGATGCCCAGTCCTACATCTCGTTCCAGGTCAGGAGCTCAGACAGTCCTGGGGGCTGAACCTTGGATGTCTCCTGTGAGACCTCACCTGTGCACTGAGCTTCCTCAAAGCAATGTGACAGGGTCAGCTTCATGGACCTTACTGCAGGTGATTTTCCACAAACATTATTGTATTTCAACTATATAATTAAGGAACCATGTTCATCGGGGTGTAAGTAACTGACATACACACACACGCACACGCACACACGGACACACACATAAACAGTATGGAAATTCATTTACATTTCCCAAAAACTGGACACATTTTGTATTATTCCTGATGAGTTCATACAAACCTGAGGTTTGAATCAGAAACTAAAAGATAACATTTTGTATAACCAAAGTTACAAATCAATAAGATGAGAAAATGGGGTCAGAAAAATCAAGATTGAGTTACTCCCTGCAGTCTAATGGTGATAAGTGACATAATGCAGCTGTGATGAAATGGGCTTCCAAGTGCTCTAATTGTTAACCTCTCGCTTACAGCTGACCAGCAATCTCTGAGAGTGGGGAAGCTAGAGTTCGCCCACATGGCATAGCCCTCTGGCTCCATAAAACTTCACTGGGCTTCTCTGTAGGCTCAGAGGTGTGCAGACCCCTACCCCAGATTCTACAGTCAGACAAATCTCTGCTTTTTCCGTAGGGACACAAGAGATAGTGTGGAAGAGGGCCAGATGTACTTTACTCAAGGTCTCTGCACATGGAGAAAAACCAGTGAATGTGGAAAATGCATGGTCTCGATCCTTTGAAATGAAAGGAGTCGGGCACATTCCTCAGCCCCGGGGTAAAAACGAACAAGCCCAGTACAAACACATCCCATCCCACCACATATCGCCATATATCTCTCAAACTTCCTGAGCCCAGTACAAACACATCCCATCCCACCACATATCGCCATATATCTCTCAAACTTCCTGAGCCCAGTACAAACACCACCTGGAAAGTCTCCGATAAGGAGACAGACGTTCGAAGTTTTACTGAAAGCGCGGGAACCAAAAGAATTCCTTTGTTCCCTGTAACTTTTGGGCTATAAAAAGCAAACACTCGCATTGTTCGGGGCCCTCTTGTATGCTGTGGAATGGAGGAACCAGGTTCGAACTTGTAGTAAAGATCCTTGCCGCTTGGCTTTGACTCTGGACTCTGGTGGTCTTCTTTGGGGAACAAACGATCTGGGCGTAACAGAACAATCCCTGTGAAAAACTCAACTCTGTGACAAGATGTCATGCAGAATTAAGAAATAATGCAACTGAAGTAAAAGTGAAAATTACAATTGTGTGCAGGTGCACACTTTTTCATATATTTTCCAATAAAATACAGTAAAAGTAGGTGTTCTCTATAAAAATTCACAAACGGTGTGTTGACCCTGGGAATGGTGACCCTCCCTCCCTCCACATACAGGCAGCAAAATGCAGGTGGATCAGGTTCCCAGCAGCTGCTTTCTGACATCTGTAGCATGGCGTGTGCTGAGGCCCATGTCCTCTGGTCTACTCTAATGAAAGGACTGACTCCACAGTGATTCCTAAGGAGAGCCCTCTCTTGGAGTCATAGGGATCCCCTGAGAGGTAGCCCTGACTTACAGGAGACTCAGTTACCTTTTGCAGCTTCCTTGCATAGCATAAAAATATAGGAACCTTCCACCCAATTCTCCCTCACTGTCTCCTTCACTCAGGGATGGGCTTCCATCATAAGCCATCAGCTTCCCAGTCTCATTCCACCCCCGGTGCATTTTCACTCAAGGGGGTGAATGTACTTCTTATAACAATGCAGGGAAATTTCATTCCATCTTGGAGCTTTCTGCTTAGAACAGGAATAATTGCACAAATGTTAGGAGAAAGGGGTCCCAATTCGGGGAAAATCCACAGAGTAAAACAAGTTTATTACACAAGTAAAACAATGAGACTGGCTACTCCAGAGGCAGAGCAGCAGTGTGGACTGCTGATTGTCAATGTTACGGTTATTTCTTCATTATATGTTAAACAATGGATGGATTATTCATGAGTCCCCCAGGCAATTCCTGAAGCTGAGTGTCCCTCCCCACCCCCCACTGGCCCACCCCGTCCTTCTTAGACCACACAGGGAAACTCCTGATGTTGCCTGGACATTTGTTAACTGTCTTGTTGCTGGAAGGAGTGTCTTTTAGCATGTTAATGCATTGTAATTAGAGTATAATGAACACTGAGGACAAACTGAGGTCACTTCAGCCACTGTCTTGGTTTTGGAGGGCTTCGGCCAGCTTCTTTACTGTAAGATTTATCAGCAAGGTCTTTATCACCTGTATCTTGTGCAGACCTCCTATCTCATCCTGTGACTAACTTACTGCCTTAACTTACTAGGAATCCAGCCCGGCAGGTCTCAGTCTTATTCTCCCTAGCCCCTATTCAAGATGCAGTCGTTCCAGTTCCAAAGCCTCTGACACACAAAAAAAGTAGTAAAGTATTTATGAGCATGATTATATTGCCAAATAAAAAATAAAATATCATAATGACAACTATCAATTTTACCTATCATCTTGACTAGACCACAGTCTCATCTACTGAATCACACACGAGCTTAGGTGTGGCTCCCGTGGCATAACACAGGTGTTAGGAGAGCCTGCCATTATGTTTTCCACAGTCATGAAGAGTGTTCTAGATATTCGAGGTGGGGCTGATTCAATCACAGCATAACAGAAGACGATGGGGCTCCGTGGTGGATGGTAGATGCAGGTCTTCCCAGGAATTCCAGCTTGTCTTTCCTGAGGGCCAGCAGTATTGACCTGAGGCTGCCTAGCCAGACCCTACAATTACTGTTACCCGGAGTTCACATCCTCAGCTCTCCTCAAAGTCATGGGTGAGAGTCCAAACTCTGCGACAGTGTGAAAAGCACAAGTTCAGCTCTACATCAGTATCCCATTGGAGAAAACTAGTATTATTCCCTTCATGACTAAAGTCCACTTCATTTCCCAAATGCCTCCATGCACAGAAGACAACAGAAGTGTCCAGGCAATAGGGAGTGAGAAAGTCCCCTCAGCCTACCCAGGTTCTGCAGACCCGAGGCCTGGGATTTTGACTACAGAAAACACATAGTCTGTTTTTAAGGCAGCGAAGAAGAAAGGGAACTGCGAGAATCAAGTCTACAGAGAAGGAAAATGGATTAGCAGAAAGAGAGTCAACTGAATCAGTCTGAGTCAGATGTGCACAATTTTACAAGACGAGGGGGGATAGCTGTGAAAACCATCAGGTTTCAAGGACCCTGACCCTGGGCGAGCCTCTCTCTTGGCTTCCATCAGAATTCAAAGCCTGTTCTAATCAGAGATTCCCATGGAGGTCTCTGCCCTGAGTCTAACTGGAAAAAACTCTCCAGGTTTCTCTAGGATTCCTCAGGACTCTCATCCCGTTGACCACGAAAGGATTATTTCTGTCCCCAAAGTGACACCCTGGCTTCTGTGGAGGTGAGGGTGTGTCTTCCTGTTACAGAAACAAAGAAACAAAAAGGACAAAAAAAAATTGCATTTACAGACATCACATGTTAGTACAGATTGTAAATCTGGAGACGTTCCCTGGGGAAATTTGACAATGAGGCAGCCGCAGACCATGACAGGAAGCCAGGCCTTAGCAGCACCGGCTCCTGCCATGGAGACAGCCCCGAGCTCAGTGTCCGGGCGCCCCCTGGTGGTCACGGGGACCCCTGCAGGGAGGTTTGTGTCCCGGGCGCCCCCTGGTGGCCCCGCGCGCCCCTGCAGGGAGGTTTGTGTCTGGGCTCACACTGACCTCCCCTCACTGTGTCTCTAGTACAGTAATACACGGCCGTGTCCTCGGTTTTCAGGCTGTTCATTTGCAGATACAGCGAGTTCTTGGCGTTGTCTCTGGAGATGGTGAATCGGCCCTTCACGGAGTCAGCGTAGTGTATGTAACTACTAGCACTAC